GAACTCTACTGAATAACGTATGTTTTTCAGTGTAAATGTGTAACTAGACGCTTTACGGGGGAAATTCATTCGTTTTCAATTCAGGCACTATAGTTGGACATGTTGGCGATGGAAATTTTCATGTGATTTTGCCAGTATTTGAAGAAAACGAAGAAGAAATGAAAGTGGTGCGAGCTTTCTCGGACAGACTTGTTCGGTAGGTTCTTTCTGTAATGTTTTTGAGAGACTAGCAGAGGTCATTTGGTCCCGATTGAAGGTGAATCACACTCCTCCAACTAGCTACAGTCCATCTCCTAGAGGGGAGAGGGCGGGCATTGTTGTAAGCGTAGCAGCGGTGGACAGCTAACGGCTCAGACAAAGACGTAGGCAGCCTGGGCATAAGAGAGCGCAGACTTAACAGGAGAAAGTCAATAATACGTCTCTCTTGCTTAAAGGCACTTCCCGCGACCACACTTCATAGGTGATACAGCTCAAAAATAGGATTGCCAGAAGCTTGTTGACTTACTGAAGGAGAAGGAAGCACGAAAAACGGCCCGCTATAAGACCCTCTTTATTTCAATTGATCATGATCACCGGACGAGCGTGCGGTGGTCAAGATCAATTGTGAATTGCAAAAGGCGACGATACACTGACAAGTGACGAGAGAGGCCAGAGAACGACGGGTGAGAGAGTGCAATGGACGCAATGACACGGTCACAGGAGGCCGGCGTGGGACTATCGGGCGCCAGTGGGCCTAAACTTGAGCGTCTTGCGCTCTCCTTGTTGTTTTTCAACTTTTTAAGCGCAGTACTTAGGCGTCTGTGTTTGCCGCTTGAGCTCATGTTTCGATTTATGAGGTTCTAGCTTTAGTTTATTCGCGATCATGCCTTTTAGAGTACGGGACAACTACTCTGCAGATAGTTGGAATGCGCTGCTGCGGCTCAAAACTGACTACGTTGACCTTAACACACCTCAAAATCTCCGTGATAACGGAGTTGTGATGCGTTCGGAGTTTTCACCAAGCGGAAGCGTGTGCAGAGTCCGCGTTCCTCATGGGGTATTGAACGTATCATAGAAATTCCTACGCAGTAGCAAGCAATGCGTTGGTGTACATGCTCTGTATGACCAGTTTACTTTGTCGTAGGAAAGGCGCATGCCACATTAAATTCAGTTGGCACGATGGTTTTCTATTTAGCCTAAAATGCTAGTAGGGCGCTGTAAATGGCGAAAGAACGAGTGAAACGGTCAAAATCCTGCGAAGAAAGAAGAGTTCTCAGTGACTCGTAAATCGATTTCGGACGAGTTTCCCGTAGGCATCTTACCAATCACCGCTACCGAAGATACGGCTGCATATGTGTACCCATGTATGCATGCAGCATCACGGCCGCTTCATACCAATCCCTTCGCTTCATAATTTGCTTAGCAAATGAATGAATACGAGCGTCAGGAACGGTCGTCCATTTGTGGGCGGGCGGGCGTGGCGGGCGTTTGGGACGTAAAGTTGTGGCTTGATAGGGCCCTTATAAGGGCACCTTCCTCGGGGAAACCGCTATGCAGCGCCTGCCCAGGGTCGCGGAATTCTATCCTGCCAGGAGTATTGATCCTAGTCGTCTTGGGGGATTTATCGTGCCAACTGCCTTTAAATGAACGAGCAGAGTACCTTTGGTCATTTTCTATCGGTACATTATTGTATGAGTGTAAATACAGGCGAGCTCTTTCCGTGCATGGGACGTGCACCGGCGAACATGGTATTCGGAATTGGCAAAATACCATATCTTGTGGAGGAGTTCGGCTCGATTGGTGTGCAAGTAATGAAGGAAATCAAAGAGGGCACTTGATCCTAATAACATAATGAATCCAGGAAAGGTATTTGTCTAAAAAGCGTGAGCAGTCAAATCGTGAACATATGTATCAATAGAGGCGATTTATAATAGTTTTGTACAGTTATCGAGGATTTATCATAGTTTTTCTGCGGCTGCTCTGTGATATTAAAAGCCTCCTCCTTGAGGCTTGCATTTCTAGATGGATCACTATGTTCTGTCTTTTTGGATACTGACTTGAAGGTGCTATATCACGTATTGCAAATAAAGGTTCAAAACCTTCGTGTTCTTCCTTCGAATCGATCCTTCATATGTACTGCTACTTTTGCGACACACACCGAAGTTCTACTCAACGTATTCAGTGGAAGGAGTAGCGCACTGTCTCATGGCGGCTGTCAAGGTGAGCGAGAGTAGATGAATGTCACGCGTTTATCATCATATTTAGGATGCACCACCTCTTCAACTTGTATACAGAACCTTGGCAACTTGAGAACGTCCCGAAATTATCATTGAAACGCGTAAGGCAGTATAAATTGGTACTAGCATAACAGTAGTTGCACGGATGCTATACAGTGGGGAAAAATGACAAAAAACGTTAAAATACAGCCAGAACCTTGCGAGAGAATCCTTTTCTCTGCACGGCCGGTTGGTACTAGGCCAACAAGCGCTTCAATGGATACGGCTGCACACATGAATTTATACCATTTTCACTTTAAATCGGACACTTTTCAAACCAAATCGGACACTTTCTTTTCAAATCAAATCGGACACACCCCTTACAATAGGCAGTTGATAACTAGACCACACTAGGTACTGCTGTAACCCCCGCACCCATCCCCGCCCACTTCTCAGCGCGGTCATGGTTTTCCAAAATGTTTTATGAATTCTGCTTCTTCGACTTTTTTCACTTTTGCTAGTTGCACACACACACACTTCAACTGAAAAGGATTGGTACCGACACAGATCTGACTCCGCCCACTTCTCAATGAAGTTACCGCAAGTTTTGAATTTTATAACTTTTTTCGACGTCGTTCTTTTCACATTCAATCTCACAAAACGAAACACGGTGCTAACGTATTTGGGGGGGACCACGCGGCTCGCGGCGTGCGATGACTCATCTGCTCTTCTGCTCCCTCCTCGGCAAAATAGAGGTTTCATGTTTATAACACCGCCCTAAGGTGCTATATTCAAAAGGTAAAACAGTTAATGCTGAAAAGTGCGAAGAAACAATAGTAGGCTGGAAGATTCTTGCCTAAACTACAAGGGAATGAATTCCGGCCTAGGTGAACCCATTCGTTTGCGTAAAAGTGACACTATTAATTAAATTGGATGGTCCGCAGAATCCAAAGAGAAATCTACTCCAATAGCTCACTATCAAATCGCAGAAATTGAATCTTGAGCGGTTTCCTCACAATAGAATCACAATTTCACCTCACCATTCACTTCAGCTTGTTACTCGAAGTCCATTTGTTTTCCGCTTCTGTATGATTTCTCAACAAGTTCCCGGTGAATCTTGTTTGTTTTATTCTGAATAGCTGCTAGATTCGCGCTTCAAGTATGCCGGGAACCATCTGTGGGCTGTTTTGAACATTATCTCGCCGAGGAAGAAGCGGAAGAGCAGATGAGTCATCGCTCGCCGCGTGGTCCCCCTCCCTCCCCCCCCCCACCCAAATACGTTAGCATCCGATATATCTTATAGCCACAGTGCATTCGTACCAAACACATAAGTCCCGCTCTCTTTGGCTACGGCCCACTTTTGTGTTTTTACGGAATTCAGATTTTTCTTCGAATTTCCGCTTTTTTAGGGTGTATCAAGTGGGTGCCACTTGATACACCCTAAGCCCGGCGCTGCTTGGCGACTGGGAGGGAGGAGAGGGGGGGGGCAGTTTGCATTCTTTCAGCGCTTCCTATTCGACGGTGTCGACCAACCTAGAGAGCCTCTTCTCGTAGTTTGAACAGGTTTTTACCATGGATGGCTTGACAGCTTGTTCAGCTTCACAAGGTGTTTTACAGTGTTTCACAGTGTTCGAAACTTGCCAAACACCGAACATAGTGGCAACGAAAGTGCAAAATGCCTCCCTCCTGTCGGCAAACTGCACCGCTCCACCCGTTTTTAGAAGCCCCGCCATTTTTTTAGAAAATGATCCAGGTCGGCAGGATAGAGTACTTAACTGGTGGGTTAAGGTCTCCCCATCACACGGAACAAAAAAAAGCGGTACTTTGTTCCGAGTGACGTGAGTGATCTGCAAATACCCCTGGACTCACGGCTACACGTTGAGTATTCTTCAGATCACTTGAATTATCACAGTGAGAATTGAGACCACCTAAGCAGGATACAACACGAGCAGGCACCAGAATTGAGGGACGAACGAACGATCCACTTTTCTGAGGAATGCAGTTTTTTGCTTTCGTTTCACACTATATGTGGTGGGTATCTTCATAGCCGCACACCGCAAACAAACTTTTTATGTTTTTGTCATAGCTGATCGGGTTGGCCAAACCGCAGGCTTGAATGGCATAATAGTGAGCGATTCATTGGGACGATCACTAAAAGCGATATCGGTAGGGGAGTGCGCAAGACAGTTGTTGCCCAGAGGGTGTATCAAAGACGGAAATATTTTTTTCTAGCGCTGATTACAAAGAGTAGTCGCAGAAGTTGAACCATTTATTAAAGCAGTTGGAAGTCTTGTATGACTTTTACATTACACGTAATACAACTTGTATACATATGTGTCAATGGTGCTATTGAACATATACACATTTCTATTTCACACGGATGTCTTCTTATTACTTTGAGCGCTTGCGAATATCTTTACAAGACACGTCAACTAGTTATTCGAGACCATTTGTAACGTGGGTTCAGACTTTTGCTAATCCAGCAACAATAGCGTGCTCAATTCCACACTCGTTGACTCCACGGAGGATTCGGAAGTAACCTGGAATCAAAGGTCTAGTTATGCGTAATACTGTGAAGATTACATGCTGCACTATAAAACTGCATGTTCTACGGTTATCGATTACTCGCGCGTCAAATCAATGCCTATTCCTATTCTCATGCAAAAGCGTAACGCGCTCAGAAGTCTCCAAGTCAGATCTCGTTGCTTCCGAGACGGCGTAACAGTAAATGGTTCTTACCGTTCTCTCCCCAGTCGGTGTTCCAGGAGTTGGCAACGAGCCAGTATGGGGTCTTGTTGTCGACACCCCATCCAAGAATTCTGACTGCATGACCACCGAGCGCAGCTCCACCAGTGTGCTAAAGTGTGTATTTAGTTTGCTATCGGTTTTTCACATCCCTGATTGCAAACTGGCCACCCAAAATGGGCAACCAAGGGCTGCTCTGAGGACTTACGGTGTATACTCCACCAGTGTACTGGTAGAAGTCCTCATAGACGGTATAAGCGGCCTCCACGGGTCCATTAGTCATGATTTCCTTCTGGATACCAGCAACAGTCTTGGCAACATTGTAGGCGGATGTACCTGCAATACCAGGCCGATGAGATTAGTATCAATGTGATTGCAAAGGAAAATGTTCTCTTACCGTAATACTTGTCATCGCTGTAGG